ACCAGGGACAAAAACTTCACAGTTTATATACGTTAAAAACTCATTCATTATTTCCAGGAATAGGTGGTCATTATTACAATTAATTCTTGGAAATCTTAGCATAATCTTCTCCTTCGTCTCCTCCCACTTGGCATTAGTCCCATGGTCTCTGGTGGTCCTCGGGAGGAAGGCTGATAGTCTTCATCAGCTTGATCTTTTCACCTTTGAGTTTGGCACATACTGCCAGGTCCTGAGTCCATCTGCATCCAGTTTTTCTTCCTTGTAAATACATTGTTTTGACGCTACCTAAGCTAAAATAATGCCCTAAGTTCTACCCTTCCTCATGTTTAATAAACTAAAACAGTAATCACAGAGTTTTAGTTACCTGTGAGTGCTCACAGTAGCTAAAATCCTCCTCCATCTCAGAAGCACCTGAAGACGAGTGGCTGACTGGCAGACTAATAGTTGGACTCAGTGATCTCAGAGGTCTCCTCCAGCCTTTTAATTCTGATTCTATCTTTCCTTTTGACACATGATTGTATCACTCTACGAGGCTGAGGTAATATTTCAAGCAGATTTTTTTTTTTCAAGAAAAATGCCTTAAAACTAAGGGAAGTAAGAAAATATTTGCTAGCGTTTCATATGGGTGATGCTGGTTACTTCTGATGTGGATGGATAGCTTTATCCGTAGTGGCAGACGATCCGAAGACACCTGGAGGGAAGGTGTGGGCACTCTGGGCTGTGTTTTAGCCCTGCTAGTAGGGTATTGTCATTTCCTGTTACTGGATTATCTTGGTTTTAGCCTTGGGTAGTGCCTCACCTACTTGCTGCATCAGTCAGCAGCACTTCAGAGACAAATTAATCCTTTTGCAACGTCATCTGATGACCTTTGTGGGAAGTGCCTGTCTAAAAGTACAACCAGCCCTTGTCTGAATAGCTGTGCTTCCCCCCTCTGGATTTGCCATGGATGAAAATTAATCAGATAGTTAATTTTTTTCCAATAAAAATGGCCAAATTTTAAGTTTAAACCAATTTAGCAGGATCATCTGTGGACACTAATGCTGGAGTGATATAATAAACTTACATAAGAATGTTCCACACAGGTATTTTTCATTGGCTTAATTAAATCAGTTCAAAAATAAGTTAGCCTAATTTCAGCTTCCTTATAGAGACATGGCAGGTTTTTACCTGCAAACTATCTCCTTGTCCAGATTGAGACTGTTTGCACATACTCATTTTGCTGCTCTGTGTATGACAGTGTGTTAGCAGTTATTACCGAGTTTGGCTGAGACCTACATTTTCTCTTCAGTAAGCCAGATGAGTCCCTCTGCTCAGATCTGTAATTATTTCCTTTATTCTTCTCTTTAATTATGTTCCCAGAACACTGTGGTAATGCACCGTAGGGTACATTTTACACATGTATATAGATTGGAATGTGTGTTATTCAAAGTTTGCTCCATGAATCTTTTAGGTCCATTTCTGCTCAAAAGTGCAGTTGTCATTCTGAAGATCATAGTGGCTCACTAACATTTCAGGAGGGTTAGAGCAATTAGCATCCCTAATTAAATGACTTTCTGGTGAGCGAGGAGTGGAGTTGCCTCATTACATGCTGGACTATGTCAGAAAACAAATTGTTTTTTAAAAAGAGGAGTTGTGTTATTTGACATCAGGAGCATTTCTGAGGGAGAGGAGTATGATTTGTGCTGTCAGCAGTCGTATCATGTGCTGTGTGAGTGTTTTAATATGCAAGGCTGTTTACCTGCTCAGACTCCCACAGTTGCATTCACCACTGGTGTAACCAACTCCTGTGGAGTTACACCCACTCATGCCAGCGCTGAATTTGGCCCAGAGGCCTCATTCCACTGCCATCAAAATGCTGATACCAAAGCCAGGCTTTTATAGATTACATTTTTTAAAAATACCTAATTATTATTTTTTTCCAAAGGTGTTGCAGTTTACTTTGGAGCCTAAGTGATTTGATCAGAAATCTAATTTGAATTTTCATCTCAGTCATATTGAATATTTCCATCTGCATAGACAACAATGAAATGGACTTAAATTATCTACATGTATTCGATACATGCTTAAAGTTAACCTTTTTGTCCCCTACCTAGGTAGAAACTGTAGCTTATTACAGGAAATGGATGTCATCCAGAAACAGGATGAAGACTGTTACTGCTATATTCAAAACAGAACCTTTCACTTACAGTACCTTTGGTCAACTCTTCAGGTAAGAGGCTGTTTGGGGATCAGTCAGACATGCAGTACGTGTCATTTTACCAGCAGAACATATGGTCAGTTAGCACGATCAGAGCAGCATGTCTGTGTAATTAGTTTGAACGGTGTATGGGTTGGACCTTGATGCAAATGCAGCATTAAGATCCTCCACTTGGGGTGCAGCCAGGTTTGGTCTCTGTCCAAGGGATGTCAGCCAGGCTCAGGGGACAATGATGCCACAGAAACATTAACTTAGGGATGTGTTGTATTTTGTTACACACCTTTTCTATTGATGGACCACTGTTAACCTCTGCAACAAATGCTGGTTTTTTCCCAGGAAATGCCTTTATAAAATATTTACATTAGAGGGCAAACTGCAGCTCTCTGACTCACTGTAGCATACCAGGCCAGTGTAGGAACTGAACATTCGTTAGATTGTGACTAATGAGCAAACAGCAGTAGCAGTGCAGTTCTGTTTTCCTCAGTAACAGAGGTCATCTTACAAGAAACACACTTAGAGATTAGTTTGAAACAATACAAAAATCTCTTCAAGGGTGGAAGCAGTAACAGCTGAAGGAAACAAACTATCTGCATAGTTCCTTTCCTTTTCTGGGAAGTTTGTCTCCAGGCAAAGGAAGGAAAGTTTCACTTGGTCTCTGTTGGAGGAATTTACTCTCAGATAAAACGAAGTAGAACATCTCTGTATCTATTCCCAGGACTGTTTTCCTCAAGAACACGCTGCAGATGTTTTTATGAACTGTAGCAGACTTCAGGTGGTAAAACCCCCCATCAGTCCCACAAACTTTGCTGGAGTAAATGTTTATAAGCAGGAAGCTCAGATTTTTCCCACAACAAATTGCTTTCTGACACATTGTCTCTTCTCTGGGTAGAAGTCTGGTTTACTGCCCGTTGCATCACTTTTCGGCAGATGGTCTTTGCTGTCTAATAGGCCCTGATCAAGAGCTCACAATGAATCACAGTCTTCAGGAAGCTCATCCCATCTTAGAAGGTGGACAAGCTCTTTCATCAGCTTGCTGGGGAGGGCACTAGAAACTGGTAAAAAAACCCAAAATACCCAGCAGAAAAAATTTAAATTTCTGGTTATGCTGTCTCTCATTTTCCTTATCCATCTTCTGTCTCTAACATGAAGATTGCATTATAAGTGACAAGAAAAGGAAGACCAATTTCTTATGGTTCAGGAGGAGAAGGGGTAAGGGTATGAACATCCACAAAAGAAACTGCAGTCAGTCAACTGTGACTGGTATTGTTAAAAATTTGTGTGTGAGCAAGTGTCACGGTAAAACCAAACCCACTGAGCTTTTGGATGGATTGAAGCCCTTCCACTGAACTTTGTTGCTGATGAGTTGTCTGAATCACCTTGTAAGGTGATTAATTGTAAACAAATATAAAATAATAAATTGTAAACAAATCCAAATTGTACACAAATACAAAATGTATGTAAATAACCAATATTAAACAGCTGAGAGTGATTTTCATGATCACATGTATGGCATATATGATATATAGTTCAGAAAAAACCTCCACAGTGATTCTGAGCTGATTTTCTATGCATTCTGTTGTTTGGTTTTAGGTAAAAGTTAACAGCAGAGAAAAGTTCAGGTTTGAGCCCCTTTCAGAAAAAAGGAACTGTCAGAATTCAGAAACTGTGTTTGAGTTTGCTGCATGTGCTGTTCAAATCCTCTGGAAGCCAGAGACATGTACAGAAACTTCAGTGAGCATAAAACAATATGGAGAGGATATATGTTTCAAAATACAAACCTTCAAAACTGAACCATACACTGTGAGGGTGAAACGAGAAAGTAAGTACCAAAGCTTTCAGTGTGGAGTTTAGATAGCTTGGTATTGCCAGTGCTACTGAACATACCATCTCTTCTGTGAGAAGCTGGGGGCTTTTCTGTTTATATTTTATATAATCAGCATTTCAGATTGAATTAGTCTAAAGTCCATTTCTATTTTTTTCCCCCCTTTTTTTAGTGCTAGATGGAAAGCTCTTGTTTTTGTTTGTAGCTGGAATTTTTCTGTTTCATTTTGCAAACAGCCTGAGCAGGTGAGTAGTAGCTGCTTTTGACCTTCTTTCCCAAAGCCTGTGTGTCTTTTGGTCTGTTCACTAAGCTAAAGAGGCAGTTCTTTGGGAAAGCGAAATAAGGAAACTGAACACGTATTTAAAACTCCTTCACACCATTGGTGTTTGGACAGATTGTAACATACCTTGGAGTGCTCCTCACTTAGCTGTATTAGGGTTCTTGTATCCAAGCTTCCTGCACTGGGTGACACCAAGACAATCCTCAGCGTGCAAGTGTGTGGATTCAGAAAAATTTTCTCTTCCTTTTGTAGACCACTGAGTTAGCTGAATGCTAAATAATGCTGCATATTTTCAACAATGCCTTCCTCAGGGAGAACTGCTTGAGATTAAGTCATCTTGGGCCTCATCTGCCTCCACCTGTGTGCCAGCCTTTCCCTGTCCTTCTTTTGGTGCACGTTTTGCATAGCATGGAAGGGAGGATACTTAATTGTTATAGCAAAATATGTGGCCCAGGACTTCAAAGCAAACTGAGTCACAAAATAATTGTCAGGAGGCACCTCTAGAACAAGAAGAGCAGCAATAGGGTTTATAGCATTCATTCTGAATTAATAAGTCAGACTTTTTAAATGCATAAGCTTTTATAAGAACTTGTGGGTTTGTAGAGGGTTTTTTACATTTTAAATAAAAAAAGCAATAAAATTTCTCTTGCACTGCAGCACCATATTGATACGTAGAAGAAAATGAAATCAGGAATAGTGTGAGCTTTGAAAAAACCCAGTGCAATCTCCTGGCCTGTAACAACTCCAGTGACCTCAAGTATCTGTTTGGAATTTTTCCTTACACAGATTTAATATCTGAACTGGGGCCTGTTAACCATGTAACTACAACTCTTAGCTTACAGCTGTGTTCAGTTCTTATGGAAGATCACTGCTGTTTTTACAAATGTTGGCATCTTAACCAATTACAAATCACACTTCTCACTATATTCTCTCTTGTTCTCTTTACAGGAGTGCCAAGTTCTTTTACCTTTCTGGAGTAATTCTGAGTGTTATTGCACTGCTAGTCTTTGTCCTGTTGACACTTAAAAGGTTTATTCCAAGGGTAAATCTACATTTCTAAAACAAAATAATCATCATAATATAGGAAGTGAGAGTACAGAGCCAGGTTCTAACCTTGTTCTGGTTTTGTGGTCTGGTAACTGCACTGAAATGACTGCAGGATTGCTTGCATGAAGTAAATAGTTAGGTCAGAATCAAGTTCTAGTTAGCTTCTTCACAAGTTTAAACTGAACAGGAGATTGTCGACCTACAGGAAGAATTGATTCTGAAACATAATTATTTTTATTGGGCTGGAGCTAAGCTTAATTTGAAATTTGAGTCCATCTGAAAAAACCCTACATAGTTTTAGTGGCAACTAGGACAGATTCTTTTCCATTCACCAGAGACAATTCATTGCAAGGCAGATGTGAATTTTTCCTTTACTTTTACAGAGTCTGTGCATTCGCATAATACTGCTGAGATATGTTAATTGAGAACACACTGCAACAGGCCTATACTTTGACACTAGGACATGATACCCAAATACAGAGATGCAGTTGCTCCACTTAGAATCGATACTGTTTAATTGTAGCATGCAGAGGACTGTGCAGTGGAAGGCTTAATGCAGATCGTAAGCTCTGTAGGTCTCAAGAATATCACATCTGCTTTTGCCTGTGAGTTCTTTTGCCAACAAAAGTCCTGATTCTGACTTGAATTTTTTTGCTTTAAAAGTATTTTTTTACCTTTTTTATTTCCAGCACAGTACCTTCTGGATCTTAATGAGTGGCTGCTGCATGGCCTCTTTCTATTTGATTTACTGCTTCAAAGAGAATATGCAGTGGTTGTGGTCTGAACACAGAAACTACCTGTTGGGTAAGAAAATTACAAAAAAACATGCTGCAGATTTTGATTTAATTTAGTGGTCAGATGAATACCTGCACATAAAAAAGAAAATCAAGTGACTCATTTATGGAATACTTTTTTCTCCTAAGCCATAGATGTTGAAATATTCCGTAGGTTCCTAATCCACTCAAAGGAGCATTTACTCACATCGTACCATTAAACAAAGAGTTTGATGTAGTGTACTAGTAGTTTTAAGAGCAGATTTTGCCTGTACTGTTTGTTCAGTGATTTGCCATTACCTTCCCTGTAAGAGCAGAAGGGCAGCTCCTCTGGTTTGTACTGAATGCATAAATTACTAACTGGATGTGGCTGCAGGGGCTGACAGACCTATTGATCTGGTACCTGCCTGGACATTGTCACATGGGGAGAATTCATGTGCAGCTCAGTGCATTAGCTAAAGGCTGTTCATAGATCACCTTGTGAACTCTTTGCACACTTCTGAAACACAAAGCACACAAAACGTAATCTCTGTACAACACAAGAATCAGCAGGCTGCACTTCACAAGCTTTGTGAAGAAAGCTGCTCAAGTTTATAGGGGTAGTTTGCACCTTTTTCTCCATGTCCTTTTCTGTTCCTGCAGGGTATTTCCTGTCTGTTGGGATTACCAGCTTTGCCACTTGCTATCAGCATGGGCCACTTACCACTGAACTCAGCATAACCTTGTTCACGTGGATGCTACAATTAACAGCCTTTGTCTTGATTTACTGTGGTGTCACCATACCTCAAGTTGCATATGCAGTGATAGCAGTCAGTCTCTGCTCCAAAGGCCTGTGTTACCCCCTTGGTGCTGCTTGTCTCATTGGCAGGTTTGTGTCTGTTTGTGAATATGTCCAAGTCCTGGGATCACCAGGAAATATTGGAGGCTGCTAATGAAAACCTCTTACACTTCAGTAATGATTTAGGAATGTCTAGTACTAGTTCAGATTTTTACCAAATGTAAATCTACAGTAGAAAAGGTTTAAAGCCCCAAGACACAGGAATTATTTTCCATTTGGCAGTTTCAAGCATGAGTTTTCTTCTGTGCAGAATGAAGAAACGTGACTGTGCTCTTAAGGACAAATATAGCACCTTCTAGTCTGTGGCATATGGTAACCAAAATTTCCATTTGGCTGATTAGACTGCAGCAATACTGCCTTGGTTTTTTGAATCCTTGGGTTTGAATCTGCAGGTAACTCCTACCAAACCTTATGGGACAAAAGTCTACTATCACCAAGTAAGCAGCTGCACCAAAGTGAGAGTCCTTGCAAGTTAGATAGAGTTCAGAGACCTGTGTCCACAAAAATGTTTTCCATTGATTTTTAGTTTTCCAAGGTAATTATCCTAGATGTACATCTCGACCTTTAACTCATGGGAGCAATCTGTTAGAACTGTGGAGATACTCCCTCATATTCCTAGAGCCCCATTTACATTGTGGCATTTGGAATGGGAACTGCTTGCAATAGGTAGACCTTAGTTTTCTCAGGATTTTTGTTAGCAATATGGGAACAAGGTGTTTGCTCATCCTTGGATTTGAAGTATGTTTTATCACAAGCACAACACTCCAGTGAAGATTCTAAAAAGCCCTGGCAATTTGCATCTGGTTTTTTCCCTTCAGAAATGACATCCAGATTCAGTCTTTAGTGCAGACTGTTCCATAGCTGTGGAGCCTGCTG